TTTTTTTTTTTTTTTTGTAGTTGTTATTGTCGTTTGGCAGGCCCAAGCCAGTTTCAAACCCGCCTTCCCTCATGTATGTGGCCTGCACCCTAGCTGCTGAGCTACAGGTGCCAAGCCAGTATCCTGAATATTTATTATCTGTTTTTTCCATGAAATGCCTATTTAATTAATTTTTCTATTAGGATGATTATATTTTTCTTGTTAACTTGTAAGATTCTTTGTTATTTCAGATACATATTTTTTTATATTATAAATAACTTCTCCCACTTTGCAATTTGCCTTTCAGTATTGTTAAGTTGTGTTTTAATGGCTATGAGTTATTGATTTTGATGTATGATTGGCTCATTTTATAATTTCCAAGCACTAACACTCATTGTTCTTCATGATAGCCCTGAACAGATGGGATGTCCTGAATTCATCCTGGTATTTCTCCTCTCCTAATACACCTTTGTTATTTTAAATCATCTTTCCTACTAAGCCTATTACTATAGTACAGGACCATCGGCCATTGAATCCTTATCTTAAAACTGACTTTCTGTTTCTTGATGTTGCTGATTTCCAGGCACACGGGGTACTATAAAAGAGATATATTTAAACAACAAAAAAAGAGGCACAACCTTTAATGACTTTGCTTCATCAAGGAGAATGCATGCATTTTATAATCTCACCAACCAAATATAAGTCATGATCTTACTTGTATTTTGCGGAAAAATACTCATTCATCTTTGACATCCGTGCTTTCTTTTTCTGCTGCCTTGTTTCAGGATTAAAGTCTGCTACCTGTGGTCCAGGGTTCTGAAAGGCCAAGCATCTTAACTGCCGTTCTATTTGTTGCTATGAAGCAAATAAAATATATTAGTAGTAATAACTGGATAGTTTTATATTGCCTCGGAATGAACTATCTATGAACTTTCTTCACAAAGGCATGAAAATATATGTTTTACACAAAGAAAAAGTTTAATTAAATTTTCAAAGATGGTCTAAGTTTTCTCAAAATAGGTAATTCTTTCTGAATTAAGAAATACAGAGTAGTGTGAACAAGTCAATTAAAAAAAGAAATACATTATATAACATTCATATAATTAAAATGTGAAAAATAATCAAGGGGGAACAGAAGAACTCTTTTTATACCTACAAAACAGTAGTCAGCTTTCCAAATGTGATGGGGATGAACATGAGAATTAGCATGTCATGGTGGATAAGGGAGTCAAAGCCCCTCCAGCCCTTAGCTAAAGAAGCCTGGGGGAAGTGTTTCAAACCACAGTGAGAATTCAGCTCTCTTCCGGGGTGCTCTGCAACATGCCGCAGATCTACTCCCCGTCCTGGGAAAGTGGACTCCATCCAGGGCTCAATTCAGAACAAGCCACCTGAGAAGTTCCACTCTCAGTATCTTGTTAGAATGACTTTCTAGAAAGAGTCAGGGGAAACTCTGTGTGGAAGTTTTTATGATTAGAAATTACATAGGCTGTGTAAAGGGCTCAACTATAACTTGAACTTTACCTTAAAATTGAAAACCATGTAACCTTGGGTGCCGATGTGGAGAGAGGTGAACACTTTTACACCGTTTAGAAAGAAGTATGGAGAATCCTCAAAGAACTCAGATTAGACCTCCCATTTGATCCTGCAATCCCACTACAAAGCATTTACCCAGAAGAAAAAAAATCATTTTATCATTCTGACATTTGCACTAGATTGTTTATCGCAGCTCAATTTACAATCTCCAAGATGTGGAAACAACCTAAATGCCCATCAACTCAGGAATGGATTAACAAATTGTGGTACATGCATGCTGTGGAATACTATTCAGCCATAAAAAGACAGTGACTTCACATCTTTTGTAATATCCTGGATGGAGCTGAAACTCTTCTTAGTAAAGTATCACAAGAATGGAGAAGCAATTTTGCAATGTACTCAGTACTAATATGAAGCTAGTAGATGATCTAATGCGTACCCACATAGGAGAAAAACTCATTTCAATTCAAATTGGAGGGAGGGGTAATGAGGAAGGGGGAGAAGCCAGAGAAGGGCTTGGCACACCTTTTGAATGCGAGATGTAACCACAAGAGGGATTCTACCTAACAAAATCAAATATTTTGACCTGGTTGTTTGTAAACTCACATTAACCTGAAATAAATTTACTTTTCAATTATAAAAATAAATAAATAACTTAATTTTTTTGTTTTTATAAAAAATGATTAACCTAAAAAAATGTAGACTCATGTTAATTTGAAATTAAAAAAAAAAGAAAGAAATTAAACAGCGCCTGATCTGGAAGACAAGCAACAAATGGTTTTGATCAAATACTGCACTGACACTTATTCTGAACATTTAGCACATGTCACAAGGAAAGGGAAGGTTCTTTTAAAGGATTTTAGAAGAAAATAATCTGAGTAGCCCAAAAATATATAGGCTGACAAGTATGTGAAATACTACACTTGGGAACAAAAGGGAAACTTTTAATGTGTGACTGTCTAGGCAACAAAGCAATTAACAGAATCTTGATAATAGTCTAAAACAGTGGTTCTCAACCTTCCTAATGCTGTGATCCTTTAATACAGTTCCTCATGTTGTGGGGACCCCCAACCATGAAGTTATTTTCATTGCTATTTCATAACCATAATTTTGCTACTGTTATGAATTATAATGTAAATATCTGATATGCAGGATGTATTTAGGTGACCCCTGTGAAAGGGTCATTCAACCCCCAAAGGGGTCACCAGATTGAGAACCGCTAGTCTAAGATACTAATATATTTCCTTAAATTTTCATCTTGGTGTGTATATACGGGTTTGTTTTATAAACTTGACCTTATGAAACTACACTAAGATGGCTCTAAAATAAGTACAACTTAGTAGCATTTGCTACTGTTCTCAGCAGTGTAGCAGCAGGGTCAGAGCAGAGATCCCAGGTGAGCTCACCTGTGCTCGAGTCTTGGCTCCACCACTTGTTAGTGGCTTTCACTTGAGCAAATTCCTACCTCTCTAAGTCTCAGTTTCTCCATTTGTAAAACTGGGTTAGCAATAATATCTTGTGATGAGAATTAGACGAATTAATATTTACCAAGTTTCAGGATCTCAACATGATATACTAAGAAAAAAATAGGGATTTATTCAATAATAACACTTGGATATATTTTCCACAAATAATCTACTCTGAGAACAGGATTTTATTGCTCAGAAAACTGGGCTAAAAATTAGAGGACGTGAGAGGTGGGAGATGGGTGAGGCGAGCCTAGCCTGACAGAAACAAGAGGGAAGAGGAGGGGACAGGTCCACCAGGGTGGGGGAGCAAAGACCCTCCTGGGAGTCCTGGCTGGGCCCCCCTTCCTGCCCAGGTCTATGGGCATCTCAGAGCTCCTCAGGTAGGGACACCCCAAATAACATGGACTCATAGAATCTGTGTGTCATACCAGTTGTTTCTGTCCAATTTGGCAGCTTTTCTCAGGAAAACTGTGATCTTTTTGTCCTTCTTGAATGGAATTGTTTTTTTCTGATTGTTCACTCATTTCTGATTGCTAAAAAGGAATTAGAAAAAAGAAAATTACATTCATATCATACATCCCCAGTAACTTCTTCTTAAGACTCTTTTCTGCTCTTCCTCCACAGCTCACTTTTTTTCAAAGCCAGAGTTCTTGAAACAGCTGTCTGCACTCTGGCTCCTTTTTCTCCACTCACTCTTAAGCCCTGCATCTGAGTCCTCACCTGGTCACCTGCCCCAATTTCCAGCCCACTCACCTGATGCTCTTCTCTGTCAAGAGTTCATGAACAACCCACTGTACCCCTGACAGTCCTTAGTATCATAGACCTCTCTGGAACTGGCAACACTGGGGAGCTTCCTCTCCTGCTTAAGAAGACCATGAATCTTGTATCTCCATTCTCCCCCTTTATACTTACTCCCTTGAATAAAAAGGAAGGTACATTAATATCATATATCCCTGGTAACTGTGAAACCATGGTACCAGGTTTCAGCTGCCACCTGAAACCAATATCATTCCTAACGCACTTCTAAAGCCCTATCTGCCTCACTGAAATTTTCTGACAAATTTCAAATGCAATTTGTGCTAAACAGAAATCATCAGTTTCCCATAAAACCTTGTAGCTAAGATCTCTGTAACTTACTTCAAAATGCTTCAGTAATATATATACTGTGAGAGAGAGCGAGAGACTGAGGTGGGGCCAACACACGATGCTAGTTGTGAACACACAGCCCAGGGTTGGTCTGATCTATGATGTTCTATTGGAAAAGACCACTGCCCAATGTGGCTTCTACAAACTTGCTACTGTCCCTATTTCTCATCAGCTATCAGTGCTGACTATAGGGTGCCATCTTTCCCAAAGAACCCTAATGTTAGGCTTCACCAAGTTGGTTTGGGTCATTTGGCACCAAATCCTTGCCAGCCAATGAGAAATTTCATTTCTATCATGGGATCTCCATTCTCCTAAATTCCGGGGTAAATATCGTTGGATTTCTCATTCTTCTGTATTTCACTTTCCAATTCCCAACATTAGGTTTAAAAGTAATATTGATTTTTCTTTTCTATATTCCTAACTCTTCCTTTATGTTCTCTGTTGAGTAGTCTACCCTAATGATAATAGTTGTGGTAGTAATAATAACAGTCATAATGGTAATAGTAGTAATGCTTTACCCTTCACCAAGCCATCCTCACTGCAAATAAACTTTACACAGGTTTCTTCCTCTTTCCTTAGAGCATTCTCTTTAGAAAACGTGCAATTACAAATCATTTCTCTGCCTCTCTGAGGTGCAAATCTTCTCACATATTCATGTATTTTATAAGCTAGGACTGCCTTCTGGGGCCCTGGAGTCATTCCTTTGACATGTAGTTATCAAGGAACTTAGCACCCCATTTCCAGTGTCTATGGCAGGATAGGAGCCTAACATTGATAAGACACCTATTAACAAACACAGGTGGCCTAATCACAGAAAAAAGCATTCATGAATTCAAATAACTCAATGTACAACACAGCCCACTGACCAATTACTACCCATCATCCTCTAGTACATTTTTAGTATTAAATCATAACCCATTGGAACCCTTCCACTCTGTTTCAGTGGAGTTAAATTCAGACTAAGTTCTGGGCTCTCTCCCCAATTGCAAGAGCCTAAAGAGTCTTCATTGCCTGACTAAAAAATGCGCTTTGTCCAGAGCAATTTTACTTTGATAGCCTCACATGTGATTTAAGATCTGATCAGCCAGACATTCCTGTGAAATGTCTTTCAACTTATAAAAATATAAAAATTATGTGGACCTGTTATAAAAATTATAAATTCTCTGCTAAATCCTAAACCTGCTGGGGTTAAGGGGAGAGGCTCAGCGCCTGTAGCTCAGCAGCTAGGGCACCAGCCACATACACCAAAGCTGGTGGGTTCAAATCCAGCCTGGGCCTGCCAAACAACAATGACAGATACAACCAAAAAATAGCTGGGTGTTGTGGTGGGCTCCTGCAGTCCCAACTACTTAGGAGGCTGAGGCAAGAGAAGCACTTAAGCCCAAGAGTTTGAGGTTGCTGTGAGCTGTGGCTCCACAGCAGTCTACCGAGGGCGACATCATAGTAAGACACGGTCTCAAACAAAAAAAAAAGTGCGTTTTAATAATTTGCAGGGGAGATTGTTGCTAATCTCTGTTGTATAGTTAATAAGCAATCCAGGTGAATTCTTTCACTAGGTAATTACAGGATTAGGGTAGGGAATCAGGTATATTTCTCTCTATTCAGTTTTTCCATCTGGTCATAGAACTATTGTCCACATAGATGGCCCCCAACTTAAGATGGTTTGGCTTACACCTTTCAACTTTACCATGACTCAAAAGTGATATGAAACAATAATCTATTCCAATGCTAGAGAAATACCTGGCTGTGTAGGGCTATTCAGTGTAGCATTATCTGAAAAAATTTTCAAGAGTAATTTTGTCTATATGTGACTGCCATGGACTAAACTGTCCCACCCACCTCTGCAAATTCGTAGGTTGAAGCCTTAATTCTAGTGTGGTTATATTTAAAGATTTGTATTTTCAGAGGTAATTAAGGTTAAATGACCATAAGGTTGGCATCCTAATCGGATAGGATTGGTATCCTTAGAAAAGAGGACGACAGAGGGAGCTCTCTCTTTCTCCATATGCACTCAACAAGAAAAGGCCATAGGAGGATGTAACAGGAAGGTGGCCATCTGCAAGCCAGGAAGAGAGCCCTTATTAAAACCTGAATTAGTCAGCACCTCGATCTTGGACTTGCCAGTCTCTAGAACTGAGAGAAAGAAATGCCTGCTATTTAACCCAGCCTGTGATATTTAAGTGGCAGCCTGAGCAGACTAATGTAGTGACTTTCTTCTGTTATTCTAACTTCAGAATCCAGACCTGATGTCAGGTGTGGCTCAGGTACCAAAATGGGAGCCTTTTTCCAGCATACCCTTTGAGCTGTGTGTTACTACAGTACAGCCACAGGAGGCAAACTTGAGTTATTCAAAGTGCATCCTCCCCTATTCCCCAGACTGCTGTGCAGAGACGGTGATTGCCATTAAAATAAATCTTGGATGGCTCGGCACCTATAGCTCAACCAGCTAGGGCGCCAGCCACGTACACCTAAGGTGGCGGGTTCGAATCCCCAGCCCAGACCCGCCAAACAACAATGACGGCTGCAACCAAAAAATAGCCGGGCGTTGTGGCGGGCGCCTGTGGTCCCAGCTATTT